CAAAATTGCTCAAATATTAATATTTTTTGAGTTATTAACGAAAAACTAAATACCATTTTTTTTAACAATTTTTGCAATTTAAGAATTGCAATTTTTTACCTGCACAAAAATCCTTCAAAAACATTTTTCTAGAGGTGATTCCGAATCGAATGAGTTATCGCTCATATTTTTGGGACCTTTATCTCTATTCTTCATGTTTTTGAACTTGTTGATTAGACTATAGCTTGAAATATGTTGAATGAATACATTGACTTCTTGTTCTGAATTTTTAAATTCCTCTTTACTGTACTTCGTAGAATGTGTTGATCGTGACAGAAGTTACATCACACGTTATTCTGGTCTTTGATGTATGGTATGTTTTTTACTAAAAATTGAAGAAATATTTTGCCTTTTCCAGTTTATCGCATCCGTCGAAGATGAGGTATAATCAAGGTTATGCGAGAACTGACTCTGAAGGTATGCACTTTTCTCCCTCCTTCACCCATAGAAGGATACCTTAAATATGTGTGGATATCTCGTCGATAAAGACGCGATGGTCACCTCGTGAGATATCTAGATATGTTTAACAACATTTTTCCCCTGAAATTTCAGATTAAGGGATTGGCGGAATCAGAGAGCAAATCTATTAATCTGAACATTGTTTGTCTAAGGTTCGATGCTTTCGTTAAACAAAACGGCGTCCTTTTTCCGATTTGCGAACCCATTTATTCGCACGGCATCAATAATCTGAGTGAGTACTTTTTCAATTATGGTATGTCTCATCTAGTTTATAATTATTAACATTTTGCTTTTGCCATCAAAAAGGTAATTTACTTATTTCTAGAGGGTTACTGCAGAAGGGTTTCTTTTCTAAATGGAAAAACAATAAAGATTCAAGAAAATAGACGTTTTCAGAATTGTTTTACACTGTACAAAGTCTTGCAATAGTTTGTAGGTATTGAATAATTTATAAAATAATTCCATTCATGTATCATTTAGTAACTAACGGGTCAGTCCATTTATAATCTTGAGAAAATACTTCTCGTGATTCTTAACTTCTCAAATTCAATATTATTTTTCAGTGAAGTCTATAATTTGTAGAATGAAAGTATGATTAATTGTCGTATATAGACACCCAAAAAATGAACCTTTTTTTTTCAATAAATTATTTGGGCGGGTACATAAATTAAACCCCAATGTAATTCCAAATGCCGGCTTTGAATTCTTCAATGACTCGGAATCAATATCATCATAGGAGTGGCATTCATTAGTATAATTTATTTCAACAACTATTGTGTAGTTTGAATATATTCGTTATTGAGAAATTAAATGTTGAACGTATTATTTAAGGAAAAACAGATAATTCGCTGTCGTTCATTTATTATTTTCTAAAGTTTGTGTAATCATAGGATCTAAACAGTCTTGTAATAGATCTAAGTATGTGTCTATTGAGATTACCTTCAATGAAGAATGGTCCAACAATATGATCACCAAGAATGCCGGCCCAGACATTCAATTTTTGTGGCGTTTGTGAATGTGTTTCAATCACCAAATGAGGATTCACATCACTCCAGTCACGATAATTATGTCTATTCACTTCACCATTCAACATGAAAGAACTTTCGTCAGAAAAACATGTATTGTATAATAGGTTTGGGTTATTGGTCAATTTCTCGTTGACCTCACAAGTCAACGATCAGGATCATTTTCGTTTAATTCCTGAACTAGCCTTATTTTGAAAGGGTGGAATTAATTTGTTGGCTTTCAAAAACACTAGTAGCCGATAACAACAGTCGCTCTACCTATTTGTCTGATAGACGATTATCCATTTGTATATGTCCTAAAACTGCAATTTCAACTCTGTCATTTCTGACAGGACGGGATACTTCATGTTTTCTGTTGTGAACAGAACCTGAAGTTCGAAACTTATCCATTAACTGTTTAACGTATTGATGGATCACGATGTGGTCTGGATGATTCGTATTATAAATTATTGCAACAGCTTAAGCACATTCTTTATTTCGATAATAGGTTGCAACACTTTCTATTATTTCTTCAGTAGAATAAACCATGTTGGAATACAGTGAACAAGGATGACTGAATAATATAATTCGTGAAGAAGTAACAGTGGCCTACTATCTACTTTTTGTTCTGCGACAGCTAGATTCAACAGAAACTACCAATGCAGAAAAAACTAACAGTGTCGTCCATTTCAAAACGTTTACTACTAATTAAATAAATTTAACAAATCTAGAACACCTGCGACAGAGAATTATTCGGGAATGCCGATTTCTGACTCCTGATATTTTCAATAACGTAAGGAACGCTTTCGAAAGTAGACTGTATGATTGAATGGAACAAGATGGAGGTCATTTTGAACACTTTATCCGTTGATTGTGTTGCCATTGATATTTCATTTGTTGGTTTCCTCAATAAAATGAGCGACAGCGAATTGTCTGTTTCTTCTTAAATAAAACGTTCAACATTTAATTTCTCGATAATGAACCAATTTCGAACAAAATTACAGGAGTAATAGAGGGACAAAAAACCTTTCAAATGATGTATCACTCGACCCCCCATGCTGTTGAAAAAAAATAGAGGGGTAGTTGCTGACCGCGGAAGGGGGTTAAGCTTCGGGAATGATTTCCATATATCAGAATTAGTCCCCCTAGAAATTTATTATTATTATTCAGATTAAAGTGGATATCGCTTCATTACCGTCAACATTTCTTTTTTATTTGCAGCTCAATTTTATTCATTCAGTGTGCAAATTAGTATTAGAAATATTATAAGAATGATCTGAATTTGTTCAGCTGGGTATAACAAATTGTTGCGCATGCAGTGAAATGTCTGTTAGGAATTATACGGTAGTTATCTTGCTGATCTTTCGGTTTCCAAGTGATTTTTTGTTTCAAGTAGTTAATCCACTTCGCCCTTATGAACAAACGGGGTTTGTCAGCTTGTCATTCAAATTTATCATCAAATATTTATTGTTGTAATTTGTAGCAACTTCGTTAATCTATCATCTAGCTCTTTGACTTCTCATTTTTTCATTATAATAGTTAGTATTTCGGATTTAATTAGTAAATATTAAGAACATTGGGCTGGTACATACTATTGCAAGGCATTGTATATTTTTCCTTGCGGAAAATGACTTATTTGACTGGAATATCCTGTATTCAAACTTGATATTTGTGAACTGGTCATCTAATCTATTCTCAATAATAATTATACAATTAATTGATGGATGTAGCCGTTACTACGTGGTAGGAGATCATAATGAAAAGAGAAATGAAAATTTCTATGTTTTTTACCACTTTTAATCAAAATTAGTAAATGGAAAATTTCTGTTTTTTGCCGCTTTTGATTAAAAGTGGTAAAAAGCATAGAAATTTTCATTGATCTTTTAATTATACAATTTACACAAGCCACGTTTCACTAACTGGTAGTTTTATCAGTCGAACTGGGTCACTTAATGATTGTGGTCAATTTTAACATACTTTGTCATTCATGTAGATTTTTTCCAGAACTCAGATCAGACTAACAATGGACTGGTTAACAAGACACTGCTTGATAAGAACTCCCCGAAACCAATCAAAAATCGAATTCAAAATTTTTTCAATTTGATTTTCCACTGTAAAATATTTCAGGTGTTCCATCAAGTACTGTAGATTTTTCCGACATGAGAACATTTATAAAAAATGACTGTTATTTATTTGTCTAAAACAAATTCTGATAGAAAATTCTTTTGTTTCACAAATTTTAAGACGGATTTCCACCAAACGGACAAAACCACAACAAAAGACTTTGTCATTTAGCAAATCTGCCATAATTTTATCCGTTCCATAATCGTCTTCTTAACAATGATCTCATCTAGTATCTTAGTTTTTTTTTCGCTTTCGCTTCTTTCACTCAAAAGATCCGATTATAAAAAATTCTCAGCCCATTATAAAAACATAGTCTAGAGAAGACATGATGAAAACTGTTCTTGTAGTGAAAACGATGGAAAATATTTCACAACAAAACACGCGACTTGTCTGTTTGGTTAGAAGAGTGTTTTCTAACTTAAAACAAGTTTTTCGTTTCTGTTTTTGAAAACGAAACTAGTCACAAGCGAATTCGTTAGATGGAAATCCGACTTTGAAGAACAAGAAAGTGCTGTGGGTATTTTCAAAATCTATATTCGTTTCTTTTGTCTTTGTTTTTCGAAACAAATATAAGGTGGATCGAAGTTCTAAATTTGAATTATACAGCAATGTGTTGAAGATAAATCAGTAGAGAAGCTTTTAAATTTACGACAAAGACTTCTCAAGTCGTCTTCGTACATTATCAAACATTAGATTGAGTTTTTAACCATTGTGTTGAGTCAATTATTTTTTTTGTCAACGGTATCGACTACTTTGGACATTATCCAGATTAACTCGGTAGACAATGTTTATAACTCGCCGAGCCACTTAGAGGGCGAACATTAAGGATATTCGCATTCCAGCATCCCAACTTCAACTACGTAGATAAATTATATTCAGAAATATATCTGGGATCGAACTCACGAGTCGGGCGCACTACAAATGCGTCAATTTACCGCTAATTATTTATTATTTGCCTTTATAAAACAAACCAGAAAAATGATCAAACTGAACACACATGACAAATGAATAGAAAACCGTCGAAATAAAAAAGTTTCGTTGCAGTGAACAATAAAAAAGTATAGTTTGTGTAATTCATGTTCTAGCTATATTTGATATTCAATTTTTTGCTTTTTAAATTGAAATTTAAAATATTGGTGGTAGAGGTATAGAAGTTGTAAGAGCTATTTGGTTCTCATTTTTCAAATTCAATTCAAGTTTTTGAAGATTTTACCAAAAAACCATTGGTGATCTATTTGATTTTCGGAGTATGCGATTTGAAACATAGAAAATGCAATGTTGACTGTCCTATTTATTAACTTTCAAATAGTTTCACTCAAATAAATCAAGCGACTTAACTTTCCGACACATTTTTCACGGTATAGAACAATTGTGCAAAATCTTATCATATTTTATTAAGGCGTTGTCCCTAAACCGATATTGTTTATTTATACGAGTTATTGAAAGAGCTCACCTCGTATCAGAGATATGACCAGATAGCTCATTCATAAACAAAATTATCATACAGTAGATAAACTTTTGATTGTTTCAATCAACATAAAAACCAGTGGAGTTCAAATAAAAATTAGAGTTATCAGTATTGCCAACAACCTGTTGATTCTTGTATTATTCGATTTGGGGATGAAAATAGGTTTTTCAATCATCAACAGGAAAGTTCAGCCAACAAAAAACCTTCTTTCCATAATACTTCGGTTAGTTGAAATTAAAATTGAATTGAAAAACAAAAAAAGTTATGTCAATCTCTGATACTCCATTCGCAATATTTCTCCACTTCTCAAATTTAGAACTTCTCTCCATCCGCTGCCTTGGTATTTGCAATCTGCTTGGATCAATCATCAGGATTCGGTAACATATCGTATATAATTCTTTCATAATAATTGAAATTTGAAGTACAAAATAAAATTTCACAATTTTTTTTGTTTCTCACAGAAAGTGCTCTTACCGGCGATTTGAAAATAGTGAGATTAGATTTCTGTGTGAGTCCGGCCAAGGGAAACAAAGAAATTTTCATCCTGGTTGAACGTGTCACCAAAAGTGAGTACTATTTACTCCAAGGAAATATGCATCAACTGAACCTTGTTTAATTTTCAGAGAACATAAAGATCAGATTCTTTGAACTTGATGACAATGATCGAGTTGTTTGGGAAGATTACGGAAGATTTAATGATTTGGATGTACATCATCAATATGCAATTGTTTTCAAGTAAGTGTTTATTACTATTATTATAGTGCTGTAGTATCGAAGGCATTGACGATTCCACGGACATCGGATTAGTTATAGTAAACGGTCGGAAATTGATATTGTATTCAGTTTATTCGCTGTTGTTATTATTGTTTTTGGTTTTTGTAGTTTGTTATGAGTAATTTACCACAAAATATTCTATAATAACCTTAAATTTCGATTTTATATTAGCGCACGCCTATGGTAAAAGAACGAAATTGGCTCCGCACTTCGTTTCGAGCTCACCGAGAACTTTGTGAATTCATGAATGAAAGTAGTGGGAGTGGACTAACTGGTTGATTTTTACTCTGTCTTAGTTATCAGGTATCGATATCCATTGGACATTTTTCAACAACTGGACAAGAAAAATGAAAAATCATTTACATATTCAGCTGTTTTCGTCCTAGAAAGTATTTTATGAGACTTATTTTGAACTCCTTTTCGGGTTAGGGGGAGGGGGTGGAATAATTTTTGTTTATCAACATCCAATAAGTGGTCTGAAAAGTCCCCATGGGAAAAATATATCCGGCTCATTTTAATTTAAAAAGTCATCATCCTTGTTCTTCACGCTGTAGAATATTTTCAAACTAAGAATTAAATTAGACAATTTCCTGCACAATGTCCACAATTTTACAATTTCCTGACAAATACTCCATAGAGAACTAGAAACTGAACAGACCTTTCCCAATGAAGGTATTATTTTACGTGTCACACTACGATTTAGTGATTTTTTTTCCATGTATTTCCAACTGAAGCTGCAGGTAAACATGTGCGACCATGAGAATCCAAAGAAATATATTTCATTTATACTCTGGCAGTGAATTCATACACAATAAGTTGATAGGTTAAAGTGTCCTTTTTTCTTGACAATGTTTTCATCGGCACGTGGACGACTGTTTCATTCAATTACACGTTAAACGAAAAATCTTTCACGTCATTTCTTCTGCATTTGTAAATACCTTTTTTGCAAAAAAATAAACTGCCTAGGATAAAAGTTGACGTAAAAAACAACTGAAAGAATGTTATCAAATGTATTTGTTTGAAAAAAATCCAGAGTGACAATACGAAAATCTACTGGAGGGGACGACTGAAAGAACATCCGATTTGAGAAATGAGAGGTTAGGTTTATTTTCTTTTCTTTAGGTTTCTTTTCTTTTAGTTGAACAAATTGGACAAATATATTTACCAAGAACTTTCGATTATTCATTTCTTCAAAAAGAAACTACTCTGTTTCCTGATAGTGAATAGTAAAAAATGATCAGAATAATTGCAAAACTCTGACTGAGCGTTAAACAAAATTTTGTGATTTCTTTATGATTTGCCACAGCACCTACAGGCGGCTTTATAATACTTTACCGGGCCCACCCTATTTTCGTATGGCAAACTGGTCGCAAACAAAATATACGTGGTCGTTTTATACCTGCAATAGCCTGCTTTTTTGTATTAAATCATAAATAATTGTTTGAACTAATAGGAGTATTCATTTATTTCATCAGTTCGGACTTCCATTGTCTAATATAATATAAATTATCACCCGAAGACGATTGTGGATACTAACAATCGAAACGTCGTGACGTAACTTGCTTCAGCCTAGTTCGAGTAATGATACCCTGAAGGAATTCGATTTTCAATTATCGAAAATCATCGACTTTATGTTGATGATAGACACTACCTTGCCCTGAAGAGTGGCCAAACAACCCGAAACCGATCCGTGTGTTCCAAAAATTGAAAATCTATTGCGGCAGTTGTATCGCTATCAGCATATGCAGGAATAACTTTAGTGCAGAATCCTGCACTGACACCTGTCGAATATAACCAACGCTCTTCGTGGTATTAGCCAGGAGAGTAGTTGTTTTTTTGATAGGTGTAAGTCCATTCAGTGTAGGGAGTTGTGACTGGCCTGAACGAATTGTCCCTTTAGATGATTTATTTTATATACAAAGTATATTGTTATCCGATACCAGCCTTCTGAAAATGCTTGACGTGAACTTATAATGTTTTTTCTTGTCACATTTTTCAACGGTATATCCTCCATTGAGCCAAGTTCCGTCCAGATAAATCTTTCTATTCTCACGTCAAAACTCGTGTATCTGCCTTAGGTAATGTCCTCTGCAGCAAATAATTTCATCATTTACGATTAAGAGCCATTTATTCCAGATGAAATGTAAATATCTCAAGAGTTTTTTTCCAATTTCTTTCTGCCTTTCAAGGCTCCCATGATTTTGTCGAGGGTCGATATTTCTTTTTCAAAATAAAATGAATGTACTGTTCTTCTGATTGCAAGTTTTCTAAAGATGATTTTGGTGATTTCACAGCTTCCTTTTCTTTCTCATTTTTGAGTTTAGGTATCGATGATTTTTGAAACTCCCGTAATTTGCGTACAAATTTCCACCAGAGTATCATCGGTGTACAAGGATTTTGGTGTAGGAGAGCGTCATATACATTAAAACTAATACATCTTTTCGTTAACACAAAAAGCTCATTAGTTTTTCTGGAGATAAAACTGGTGCAGCTATTTTAATTCACACACTAAGTATAATTTACTAATAACAACACTGATTAGGACGCAAGGGCTTTATCATTAACCGATTCAATTATGATTTGAAAATGATTTATTACTCCGCTACTCAAAAAAATATACTATAGTAGAGGTATAAGAAACATAACAATTTGACGAACTTTGCAGTGGTTTTTAGCCTCTTGTTTTATGTAGACACTGTTGTAAAGTACCTATTTGAAGCAGCATGGCTGTGCAAATGCGCGACAACCATGAACCTTGGCGAATTCAATATGAAATGGGCTAAACAAATCCTCCAAAGAGAAATGCCGGACCTATTATGGATTGAAACCAGTTTTTTTACAACGTTACTATTATTTCCGTATTTTATATTTGTCAATCACTCACGGAATAATGTAGAGACCAGCTGTAAGGAATATTATGGTAATAAATGTGAGAAAATTATCCATACGGGGTTAGTATGTAGAGGAATCGAATTCTGCTAGAGTAACAGTCATTTAAAGCGTTTATTTAATCCTCTGTAGAAAGTTGAGTAGCGCTCAGGATATATTAGGCGAACTTTTTTATTTATAGAAACTAAAGCCTAATATGTTTTCACTTACCCCTCTTCATGATTTTTCTGTTTTTCCACCACCCAATTTTGACTATAAAAATCAAATAAAAATTACTTTTGTCATTTGCTATCCAAATGTTCCTTACCAATATCGTTTTCATGTATTTCATCCGGTACTTCACTCAGAACATCAAATTTTCCTATATGTAAGTCAGCACTCTCTTCTTTACTTGCCGATGTGGTTGGAGGTACATCGAAGTACGATTTTTTCGCAGCTTCTTCAAAGTATTCGTTCACAAGATTGGGTTCTGTAATATGAAAATGTAGGAAGTATAATGATAATTGGGCATTAATAATAACTCAGTAAATACAATTTTTTTTGCAAATAAAATCTGACTGACATGAAATGGGATTGGGGTATACGGGAGACATTTCTTCTATTATTATCAGTTTTTTCATGTACGTTTTTTTTAACTGATCCCACTATTGCTATCTCGGAAAGGCTACAAGGTCGGTCGAATTGAACACAAGTTTCTTATTTTGGGGAACTGGAATAATCTTTTGTTAGATAGTGAATATCAGTGGTTGTTTTTGATTTATTCACCAAAAACTAGAATTGTCGAATTTCGTTTTGTGATTCTTCCGTCCCCATTTCGAATGATAAGAAAAAAGGCAAAGGAATAACTTTCAAAACTGTTTCATATTTGTTATAATCTGATATAAACCAGTTTGCAAAGCGACGTTTTGTTCATTAGAGTTCATTATCAACTTGGTTTTTTTGTTGATCGACCTTGTAATGTTTGTCTTTTGTGATTGCTAAATCACAAATCGAAAGAGTTCATCGTTGTTAAGATAATACACGCGGAAATGTATGCACGTTGAAAGTTACTGTTAAGAATGATAAAACGCATTTTCTTCTAGGTGACACACCAAATTTAGAACTGCTTCTACGATATTGTAGTTGAGTCAATTTCAGATTTTTTTCCAGTATGTCAAATTGCTCTAAATTTTTGAAAACTATCTTTCTTAAGAATTTTTTTTCTCAGACAGAGAGGTGGCTTCAACAGATAAAGTATAATTTCTATAATCTACATTTAATATTTATGTCGTACCTTCTAACATGTTTTCCGCCGTTTTGAGTGGAATTTCAAAATAAGCGTCCTTGCCATTTATGGTTATTGCAATTATCGTCATTTCACTTCACCCACGTATTCCTGCAATTGATGTATTCGATGTATTTTTTAATTCGGTTTAGCACGAAATTTTTTTAATATTTTCGAAAATAACACGTCAATATCTGTCAGACTGATGTCAGACAGCAAGTCAACTGTAGTATGTTAAAAAATCACATTAAAGTAGTTTTTGTACTGGAGAAGGAAGAAAAATTAATTATTTTCAATAAAAGCGTTATCTAATTTGCCTCGATTAATTTTTGTTTCAATTTACCCCGTTCAAAAAAGAAAGAGAACCCATCTAGACGAAACAAATACCTCCGAAAACGCTTTTCGGGAATGTGCAACACTGCAGAGTTTCTGTGTTCCAGGAGTAAAGTAGCATTGAGACGATGCCACTGTATGTCGCCTGTCTATATCATAAGCAGTTTGTTTTGTGTTGAATTTGCGGTAGAGGTACGGGCTTACATATTTCCCGAAAAGTGCAACCGTATATTCTTCTACTCTATCCTCTGTCCAACCAAACAACAGAGTGCTCCAAAACATTATCATGCACAGTGCATATGTGGCTGGGTATAGGATTTTTTAGGTGGAATATGGGGAGAGAAATTAGCAGTTTCATCAGTCGTATATGTACACACCACAGGAGTTAAACGTAACTGACCACTTCGATACTGTAACAATGAATTCCTCCAGCTGATTGAAGTTAAATCTGATTGGCCAGCGTAAGAAAGCTTACCGAATGGATGCAAATGTGCGTGGTGATCATGAATTGATCACGCGTCTATCATTGTTTGGGTTGTTTTTTTTTGGAATGGATATAATTTGGGTTAGGTTAGGTCCAAAGTTAGTGGGTCTATTCGACCCTCCACCGCAATCCGCAAGGGTTTATTGTGGCTCACACCGGTTCATACTCGACCAAATAAACCCAGCGTCTTAACGAAGATAATTAGTTTGTATGGTGAGTGGTCTTTCAGTTCAGATGATGAGGGTACGGCTCGGCCGAAATCTAAAAACCTGATTCGATTCCCAGCGGGGCAGGCACAAAGTATATGCTTTGCTGTTTCATTGTTAATGACGTAGTCGGATAGTCAAGGTGCAAGATTGCAAGATTCCCATCTTGATACCCGCGATAACCTTCCCATATGAGGGTTTTTCCACATCAGCTATACCTGACAATGCCTTAGAGTCAACCGTGCAGGGCTTTTTCTCCTATGGTTTTGGTGGAACATCACTTGAATGCAAACATTTGCTAACCTGCTCATAGGGGGGTTTTGTTCCTCCACCTGAGACAGATTCTGCGCAAGCCGCTCAAGAATTTGATGCAAGGCGGTGTCATAAGGTACCCCGCTCTTGAGGAGACGACTCGGTCGTTTCCTGGCTGCACCACCAAACCTTTTTAAGTTCAGTTATGGGATCAGGAGTTGGAGAGTTGAGAAGCTCTCGCTCCTGATCTAAATTCACAGGGAGGTCAGTTGGAGTCGTAAGCTCGACATCCATCTCCTCTAGACTCGGCGTCAGAAAGAATTTTTGCGTTTACTCTGTCCATGAAATTCTCACAAGTAGCTAGGGAAAGAAGGTCAAACACGGCAGAGCCCCGCATTACCGTGACAAGGCGATGCTGCGAAGAGAGGGCGCCCGGTATCTCGAAGGTATCCGTAGAGACAGCTGATAGGCTCAGTGTCATTCATCCTCTCGGCACGAATACACACACCTTAGGATTAACCCATCGTTGGGATGCCATTCAGTTAGGGAATAACGGAATCACAAGTGATTCTGTCATTCCCTTATCCAGCGGGGCTACTTGGAAGCAGGCATCCAAAGGCCGGTTTGCTCAACCCCCACATCCCAAGCCAATGCACTCGCCAAAAACAGTATGCACAGTGGTTCAGGCAGTGAAAGATGAACAAGGACAGCCAACTCGCCTATAGTTTGGGTACTGAAACATTAGGATAGATTATAAAACATTGTTTTAATGACAAATAATATCACACATTTATCATTATTTAATATCAAACCGTAGAAGAAATCATAAATAAACAATAAGATAATGTAGATCCTGGGCTGAGATGGATGGGGAGGAATATTCCAAGAAACAGGTTGGATTTATTCATGCTAGAAGTTCATGAGTCTTTGTGTGAAAGTGTTGTTGAAATATGGTTAGAAGTTTTACTTTTTGACATGTGTCAACCAGTATGAGAAGAGAAAATATGATAAATTGGTAGTCTGCAAACCAGAATTATTTATGTTTCGAAAGTGTTGGCTTTGACTATGAATGCTTTTTGTTTTGGTCAAGTAGAGTAATGAGGTATTTGGTTGTTTCAAAATTTTTGTCCGTTTTCATGAGCCTACTTCAAGACCTGATTGGTGAAAATTCTACCGTTGAAAAAGTTATCGGGGTGCTTGAAAAGATGGTAAGCGGTTGGCAAGAGATCTGATGAGTATGGTGGGTGAGGCAGAACTTCAAGGCTCAATTTGTCTAATTTTTGGACAGTGATTCGTGAAATATGCAAACGAAGGTTGTCTTGGAACATGATCAGACCTCTTATTGTGACCATTACCAGCTGCTGCTGATGCAGAGGACTTTGCTGTGATGGTTTGTCGCGGTTGAATCACACCAGCCGTTGACCAACATATACTAACCATGGTCTTTTTCTTTGTGGGTTTTCACTTTTGGGAAGTGTCTGGGTGGCTCATCGGTGTACAACCAAACTCCTTTTGTAGAGGACCCCCTTTTCATCACACGTTACGATCCGATCCAAAAAAGTATCGTTTTGGTTGCGCAAAAGAAAAGAAGAACAGACCTCGAAACGTGACAATTTCTGTGGTTCGTTCAAATCGTGGGGCACCAACTTTTCGAGCTTTTTGACCTTTCCAATGCGTTTCAAACTATCAAAATCCGCATGCTAGCTGACGTCTAGTTCTTCCGCCATCCCACGCACCGTTTGTGATGTGTCAGTCTCCAACAGGTTCTTAAAATCCTCATCCTAGATTACTGTAGGATGTGTACGAGGTCCGACTATGGAATAACGAGACTGGTTACGAGAAAGGGTTTCATTATTAAAATTATTATACATTCGAATGCTCCTCTTCAATATACTCCCTTTCCCTCGCCACACACCTTTCCATACTTTTTTTTCATTGATCGAAGCAGTGCTGGAAGTCTTCTTTGGTGAGGGCCTTTAGGAGCTCTGCCGATTTTTGCTTTACCGCTTCCATCGACTCAAATCGGGTCCCTTTCAAAGTAGATTTTATCTTCGGAAACAAAAAAAAAGTCGCAACGGTGCCAAATATGGCGAATAAGGCGCGAGTTCTAGCACTGGAGTGCATTTATCGGCCAAATACCGCTTCACAGATAGTGCGTTATGGGCGTTGTCCTGGTGCAAAATCCACGAGTTGTTCTTCCACAACTCGGGCCGTTGCTTACGAACTCGTTCTCACAGTGTTGCAAAAACTAAAAATAGTAAGTCTGGTTGACAGTCTTACCCTCTGGAATGTCGGAAAAAACTATCAACATTGCCTGTAATTTTAATTTGGACATCCTTGCTGTCCCGGCCCTCACCGAAGCACTTACACAGTCGGAGTTTTTTTCAATTTAACGAGAAATTTGTGATTGATACGTTGCTTCTGTTTTTCGTCACACATGGTTTTTGGCACGAGAAAAAAACGCGTTCGATTCAAACCGCTACTGCACAAATACATAGTGGCTAAAACGTGTTTTGGTATAAATTGATCCTGTTACCCAACCAACCCATTTTTCAGAAGAATTATTGGATCACTAAACTAGTTAATTGGCTAAAACATTTTGTATGATTCATTCAAAATTGTGTGTGTTGGTTTCTTATTATAGTTCAAGTCCTGAGTTAGGTCATTAACTGGTTTTTAACTGGTTCATATCCAAAGATTCCTTGGTGAACAAAGCTTCGATATGGTAGTTGCAGGAATTATGTTCAAATGAATCTAAGCATTTAGTATATTCTTTAGTATATTTTAAGACAGGATATTTTGTTCAGAGAGAACTTTCTTATCAAGATGGATTTGTAGAACTTAAGTCACTTAGCTTTTCCTGCTTTTTTTGAAGAAATATGCCCTGAATTACTTATGTTGTGGTGAAATTCTTTATTTAACTTGAGGTTAATGATTTTTAGAATTTATATATAGATTTTGAGATTCAGAACCAAAAAGTGAACATTTTAGATCTCCTTTCCTGGAAACAAAGATGAAATTACTGGGAAATTTCCTCTTTTTTTCAAAGTCAGCAAAGTCGGTTATATCTCCATTGGTTAATTTTTTATTTCTAATGCCATGGCGAACATGAAAAAAGTTTCGGATTGTAAGGGATAAGTCACATATTTTCAGTCATTTGGCATATCATATCTAGGAAATTACTTTACAGTCGGGCTCCTGAGAACCTTTGCGAAAGATGTCTAGGACTACCATGCTATGAGCAGCAATTTTCAACACAAATGACAATTCGGAATTAGGAAATCATTAAATGATTAGAATTAATTTTAATCACAGCCTGATAACACCAACCAGTTACTAAAACGTATGAAAAATTTGACGGCGCTGGTGTTTAGGGACGCGGCATCTTTAATAAAATATCAAACTCAAAAAATACTTGGCTTGAACTAAAAAGGATAAATATTCAATTGTTTTACATCAAAATTATATTCGAAAGTTTGTCCTTGTTATTCCTATAGTAGATAATGCATGCACACTGTTGATATCGAATGAGTCACTGACATGGGATATAAACTAAGAAGCTGTATATTTAGTATTATCTGCTTTGGCGAAATTGGTTTGTTGCTGCCGGAGAAGTGAGTTTCGTGACCTTATCGGTGATCAAATTTGATTGTTTGTACTTCATTATTACAGATAAGATATCACATTGGCAAAGTGATGATAGGAAATGTAATGAATAATTTTTGCACCAAGGACGCCTGCTATTGTGAACACTTAATTTGGCTTTATTCAACTTGCTTCTCATTATTTTATATCAAGGTCACTGTTTCATCATTATCATTAAATTATAGTTATAAAATAATTGACTGTAAAAGGCAAATCTCTATTTTCCTTTTTTTGAAACAAAATACAGTCCATATTATTCGCTGATAATGTAGCTTTCTGTATGAAATCATTTTTAAAATTGGTTAAGTAGTTTTCGAGATTAATTACAAACAAACAAATCTTTTTTTGTAATATTTCAGCAAATTTTATTCAAAACTCACTCCAGTTCCACCAAAAATGACAAAAATGAAGTTCATTTCTTTTTACGTTATGGATTTTTCTGGATAATTCCTTGGGATCATCTCTTATTCCATCCATGCGCTCTGGATTGCTTGCGATCGTCTAACGTATACTTCTGATTTCACGAATCCCCACAAAAAATCTGTGGATGTCATGTCGGGTGATCTAGTGATCCAGTCTAAGGAACCATGTTTACGTAACCGCTGCTTGGATAATTGTTGTCTAATCACTTTCGAATCACTGTCGTAACGAAGAAGTACCTCATCTTGCTGAAACGAAACATTCTATCTGACAAGTCTATATGACATTTTCATCACTGATAATACTTTTGTTTCAGTCAATACTTCGTAGCTTTTAAGACCAGATTTCTCAAATGGAGGTTACCCATAAATAAATGTATAAATTTGTTTCAGAACACCAAAATACCGCGACGAGAACATCACAAGCCCCGTCAATGTATTTATTGAGTTGGTACGCCCATCGGACAACGCGCGCTCGGAACCGAGAGATTTTCGGTATATTCCGAATAAAACACTTTTCAAGCAAGGAAACAAGAGAGCTAGATATGATTATAGTTCGTCGAGCTACGATAGCTCCAATATTGGCAGTGAAGAACTGCCGGCAGTGATCAATGAATTAACTTTGGAAAACACGAATAATCCGCTAAACAATTTGAGCATTCCCAGCGGGTTGAGCGAAGAATTACAAAAAGCCATGCAAAATATCGACTCTGACGAATTCAAAAAGATCTTCACAGAAAACTTGGAGGAATATACTTCCATAGTGATGTCGACAGATGCTCCGAAAAGTAGTCAGAGTCGTATGCAATCTGTTAAACATTTTTTACAAACTTTCTACAATTATTTTATACAGTGCTCTATACCTTATCAAATTTTGGAAAATTATTTTTACGCCTTATGCTTTGTTTCAATTTTCCCCAAATCAACTCAATGGGATTGAAAACACAAAAATATGAAGTCTCGGTATGGTGTGTCCATACTTTTCAGCAATACTCTCAAGGTCATACACTTTTTCAAATGTTTTTGTCTGTAAAACTTCAAGTAGTTGGTTTTTGGTATAGTTATCTTCAAAATACATATTGTTGTCCATTAAAAAAACTTTGTATTTCATCTCTTCTCGAATTTTTATTCGGTACTTTGATGAGCTTATATTGTTTTTTCAATGTATCACATCGCGGTTCGCGTTCAAAAGGTTTGTTTTTGACTATTTTACGTACAGTTGAGAAAGAAATTTCGGTCAAATCTGATGTTGCTTGTAATAGTTTGTTTTCCTCGAAACCAAACTTGAGATGTAGATTCTTATATACATTGAAAAACACTCTCTGTGTTTTTCAGTATTCAAATGCATCCGAATCTCATTCACTGGTATATCTTTTCCGCATTGTTCACCATCCTTATTGGAATCACTCCACTGGAAAAAGTCTGCGTTGTTATCACACCCGTTATTACTATTAGTACTTGTCCAAGGACGCCACATTTTAAATAGATTAAAAAAATTGAGCAATTATAACTGCACCAATATCGAATTTCAACACTCAAATCGCGATCTGTTCCTAAATTGAACATTAATGGCACGACGGCGATAACCATCTCCTCATTTCCCGATTTCTATTCGTCACCATAACATGACTTCGATATTAGATATATTTATGATGTTTAGAGTTTTATCAGAAATATTTCAAGCATGATGAAAATTATACTTTAATATCTCGAAACAAACGTCTTTCAGATGTCTGTCATAAGTAGGTACATGGTTATAAGTTGTTCCATAAAGTATCAAAAAATTGGTCTTTTTTGTGCATTCTTGAAATGATGTAAAATAATGTAGTTTTGAATTAACAATAGCCTTCTTCTTCAAATATTTTTAAAGGTAAAACTGAAACCTCTGGCGTAGAATGAATAAATGAATGAATGAATAGATAGACTAGAAATGAATATTACTGGAGTTTTTTCCCAACACCAACTCATTATTTTCAACACCTTGACACGTGTTTCGATCACCAAGTGATCATCTTCAAGAGGAAGATCAAACTAATCATAGTTACAAAGCTATCTTCATTTATACCATAGATACCGGTTCTAGGTACCTGCATCTTGAGTGTCTTCAATTAATTTTACAATTTTTCTTCTTCCTCTTGAAGATGATCACTTGGTGATCGAAAAACGTGTTGAGGTGTTAAAATAACGGTTTGGCCTTTGGAAAAATCACCAGTAATATTAATTACTACACCAAAGGTTCCAAACACTGCATCACAACCAAGTTGTTGTCTTCAACTCCTGAAGTGATTGTTTTTGGACCCAAATATTTTGTTTATTTTCTGTATATAATACTAAGGAAAATAAAACATTTCCCTCCTCACGTTTTCAATAACTGTAATTATTTAGAACTATTTTGGGCTTCAGATGTCTTAACAAAATCAAATGACTGATATTTCATCAATACAATGTTTACCGGTATGGTCAAAGTCGCTATTGAACAACTCTTTCATTTGGAGAACTGCGTTTATGTGGAATAAACAATATGAATCGCCAATTTCGCAGGGGCACAGCTCTTAGAGGGCCTTAAGGATTTTTCTGTAGTGCTTTCTAATGATATTTACAGTTTTTTTACATTTTTTTTTATAAGATATTAGTAATTATAGATTAATAAAAGTAAATATCTCCTTTTCATAGGATGATTCAAAGCAGAAAATTGAATTGGTCATCCAGCAGGATCGAACAAGATTCACTCCCTTCAACGCATAATGCAATCAAAATGGAAGTATCCAAAGAAGATAAACTGATGGCTGAAAGACATATCAAAGAATTGCGGAGTTTTCTCAAAACAAGCCGCAACCCAAACAAGGCAGTTGAGTTTCTCAATTACTACTTGGGCGAAGATAAAAAGACAAAGTGAGTAGTTTTATAATGTTTTTTTTTTCGTCTTCTCTCCTCATTGTATTTTGTGAATTTATTTGTATCAACACAGTGTGTGATTGAAAATGAGACATCCAAATGCGAAAAAAACAAAGATGCAATAAGAAGGATAATAGATAGGATAATAGATTGAATTTGTTGGTTGAAGAGCTATCATTTGAATGACTACTAATCCTCATTTGCTCATTTGAAATTTAGTGATATATATCATCTAAGACTTAGAAACTGCATATCAAAACAGTGCTCAAAAAGTCTGTTATGTTTATATCTGGTCTTGGAATATATGAATTTGAATATTTAAACTAAGTTTGAGTGATCGAGTAACTGATTTCTGATGATATTATTGTATATCCCCAGGAATTTGATATCTGTGAGTCTGTTCCTAGCTCACTTGTGACAATTGATATGCATAATCTCAAGTCTTACGTTGAAAAAATTGAAATGATAACCAAGTTGAATGTGTTTTTATAGGGATGGCCTATCCACAAGTGATATGTCTACCGTAGTCTTGCTGTGTTACTTTATATCCTAGTAAATGTTTGTGTGCCCAATGAAAACCTTGATGTGATGAAATGATTACAAAAATCAGTACACTTACACTTTTGAAATGAGTTGATATGACTGTTTGAGATATGAATATATGGTTACTCAATTTGTTGTGTATTGAAAAATGCTCATCAGGACCATGTTTTTAATTAATTGTTTTCTCTATAGACCTTTGACAGGTTTCAGTCCTACTAGATAAGTAATGATTTATTAAGGACTTCAAAATAATTATGTAAACAATTCATTCACTGAAACTAGAATATGTATTTTTGTTCATTTGTTCAGACATTTCTTTCTGTTTTTGTTCTGGCCTACATTTACTTTGATTTCTCTTTGAAGTCGATTTATTTTCTTTAATGACTTTTTATTTTCATCTACTTTAAATTTTGGAATTCTAAATCTACAGTAATAATTTTACTTTTAGTGCTCTACATATCTCCATTTGTCAAAAAGATAACGAATCAGCCATGTTCCTCCTGAAAATTATGGCATACTATAGACAGTTCGACCTCATTGGAAAGGAAAATGCTGACAATCAAACCGCTCTTCATTTAGCAGTTCTTTGTCACAACGAATTACTGGTGAAGTCACTTTTGCTGTGCCATGCAAAAGTATCGGCTTTAGATGCTGAACTGAATACTTCATTGCATTTAGCTGTCAAGTGCCATGTTTCAAAGAAAATGTAAACATGTGAAGTAGATATTAATTTTTTTTTGTTAATTAGAACTAATGTTTTAGTTACAGTGACTTTTTGGTGTTTTTTCTTCCCTCCTATCTTTTTGATATTTTTTCCAGTCCATGTAGCTTTGATCATGTTTCTTTGATTCTACTTCTTATTGATTTCGAATGATTTGTCTTGTTGAAGTCGCCAAAAAATATAATTCCTATATTGATTGTCGAAAGTCATGAAGAGCATGTATTTCCAGCTATTATAGAACATGAAATTGTTTTAATAATCTGAGTACTATAAATAACTTTTCAAGGGATAACTTAGAAAATAGTATTAGTAAAATTAAAACTATGTATCTCTTCATCTTCTTGCACACTAGGTGATGCTCAATGTTTTTCAAATAGCATTTAGGTAGGTGCAATGTCAATGGGTCCATTAGATCCTCCAACGTATATTGAATCAGGTCCGACATAATTTGTGAAAGATTATTTATATGAGCGAAACATTATGTTGGTAAAACTAAATAGTTATTTTACAATTCAGGAGTGATTCTCTCAGTCCTCCATCATGTTTCATGATCGACTCATTTTTTACTGGCTTCTTGTTTCATTTGTGTGGTGCTGATATTTAAATAAAGGAACAAATCAGTTGAAAACCAGAAATGAGAAAAGTTTTGAGTTTAAGATAGAATGGCATGCCAAAGGAAAATTGGAAAGAGAAAAATCTTCACGAATTTTTTATAATTGAAGGCTCGATGCAAAAAGTTCCTAAGTAACATTTTTACGAGTTTAAAATAGTAGCACCATCTAGATATAAATTGAATGTACCTNTCTTGTTTGAAAATCATCAGTGTTATTATTAGATTGACTGGTGCCTCAGCTAAACTTGTTTCCTTATAACAGTCAGTTAGTTTGGCGCATGTTTGACAATACAGTCGATCATCGCCTGTTAAAAATTCCATTTTCAGATGATTAAACAATAAGCTTTGCACGGACTGGTTATTAGTCATATTAGGAAAAGCTAGATGAAGTTCCGGTACTTCTTGAACATTTACCACAAAGTAAACAAGTGAGGATTTTTCCAGCAAAAGATTTACAAACACAAGACGAAATGGGCTGTACGGAATCATTCAGTCTAGAGCGGTCAAGAGTATTGATTTTGCTATTGTTTTGCTCACGAAGAGTATTCAACAAGAACCCCAAAAATTCGGAACAATCCTCTTGTTGTCCTAACGAGTATCTAGTGGACTTCAAAGACTCCAGGAAATCGGTTGGAAGGAAAGATGATACCTTCTTACGAAACTGCAGCTGCATGAACAGGTGTTTGAGTTTGATGAATAAATAGGAAACATTCCCGTTCTCGTTCATCATTAAAACTTCGTTCTTGAAATTCTTCGTCATGAACAACACTTGTAAAATGCTATTTCAAAATGTTGATCTGTAATGTTCTCATTTCATAAAACTTAAATCTGAAAAACTAGCCAATATCAAATTCCTTGTTCAGAATATAGAAAACAAATAAAATCGAGAATTTTATAAGGTGTTAGACGAAGCATCCCATGAAAAGAAAATTGTGGAAGACGATGAATCAGACGCTGTTTTTTGCTTACTTATCTTATGTGTTAGTATCTTGTTTTGCCTTGTATAATAAAAATGTTGATTTGGGTTATATATTATTAGTCTGTTAAAAAAAAAACTTTTTTTTTATTAAGAAGTCATAAATGCGCCATATAATACGTTAATACACGTTTAATCTCTGATAAAAGTTGAATCTTTCTAAACACTAACCACTTCATTTCCAGCAAAAATTGAAACTTTCAATCTACAGTATCTCAAAACAAGAAAAAGTCACTTAGGGACTTTTTGCATAGAGCCCTTTAATTGGTTTTATGGTCCTCTGGTGGGCAACCTGTTACACATTTTTATGAATCATGAATAAAGAGTTTTTATGTTCTGGTTTCATGTAGATGCAGGATGGTGAATTACAATGCCATTACCTGGACAAAAGTATTTAAGTTAATACCAGTCTTATACTTCATTTTGTAATAAACAATTTACCTGTTGAGAAAAAATTGGAATGTTTTTGTGCTCCTCTTCTTTTTTCCCACATGATTTGTATTTTTTCGTTGGTATTTTGTACTTTTTTTCTTTCAACATTGAATGTTCTGTATTTTTCTTTGTATGAATACAATAATTTTTTTTCAGATGGAGATACGGCGTTAATTATTGCAATTGAAAAGAACAATATTATGGCAGTCAACCTACTATGTGGAAGAAAAGCCAACATAAATCAAATTCACCCTAAGAATGGTTTTGTACCTTTGCGTTTTGCAATTGAAAAACAGTACTCAGAGGCCATCAAATACCTTTTATCCCTTCCAGCTTTGGATGCTACGATAAAAGATTTCACCAATGTTTCTCCATTTTCAGCTGCCTTACAGAAGGAATCTCCAAAAGAAATATTGGATATGGTCAGAAAATATATGGTAAATAATTGATTCTTGATTCTATGAATTTCATTTACAGTCAATTTTTTGTTAGGAATTTTTTTTTAGTTTCAGAAGATATTTTTCAAATATTCTTGGAGAGATATTAAAAAACCTCAAAAATACATTCCTAGCTTAGACTTAATACTTCTTAGCAAAAAAAAAACACTATTTTAATTGGTTAGTTTGTTAGTTAATTATAGGGCCATATGATTCCTCTTGAAAATGTTTTTTTTGAAAAACATGAATTTATATTATTTTATATTTCAGAATGACCGGGGTATGTCTGTAGAAGTTAAAGAAGAAGTTGAAGACGAATCTGAGGATGAAATGGAAATTGATGTAAGTGACTTCTTGTCAGTTGTAATTGAGGTAAAAATAAATTTTCATTGTTGTGGGTTAGTTAATATTAATACTCTAATAAAATTCGATTTATTTTTCCAATCTATAATTAACAAAACTCTCAAAACCCATTAGTTTTACAGCTTATGAAAGTTATTTTTCAAGTTTTCAGACTAGAATGAAAGGTGGAACTGGAAGCTCTGACATATAATAAATCCAAAATAAACACTCTTTCCGAGCACCAGAATTGCACTCGCTTTCCACTAACCAAGTTGGCGTATTCAGTATGCAAAGTAGACTACTACTTCATCTCCTGAAGATGCCAACTTGGTTGGAGAAACGTGCGTCGAGAAGAGTGTTTGAATTTTAGTCTGTTATTGTTAGGTTATATTCTATGTTGAACTATGGTTCAGATATTTTATTGGTTCGGACTTCCATTGCCTAATATGATATAAATTGATAGATAGAAGATAGAACAAACTTTCCGATATAAGTAGTCATGGAATTACTAGGATGCTGTGTACGAAACTGCTACTTCCAACTGAAGGACGAATTCTTTACGCAAGATGAGGGACTGCCAATGGATTCTCCACTTTCACCAGTCATAGCCAACATATATATGGAGTGGTTTGAGACTCTGGCCATCGAGGATGCCAACAAGAAGTTCCGAGTCTGGTTGAGATACGTTGATGATACGTGAAAGTTATGTCTGTTAACTACCTTCATAATATGGAACCATGAGAATGCAGCACTAGACACCTTCCTGAAGCACATCAACAATGCTTTCACAATGAAGAAGGAAGTTCACAACGAATTGCCATTCTTTGACGTATTGGTGAAGAGGACCGACACTAAATGGGAAATATCTGTATTCCGAAAACCCAATCACACGGAACAGTATCTGAACCAGGAATCTAACCACCATCAATCGACTAATAGACTGTGCTTTCGGGTTCTGTAATACTAAGGAAGGTTTCTAAAAGGAACTAGCGTTCATCAAAAATGACCTTCAACCGAATGGTTACTCCAAAGTAATGGTGGAACAGACTTTGGTTGGAAGACAGCAAGAGTCTCACATGGAAGAAAAGCCGCCACAACCAGAACTTGTACTTCCCTACATCAGAGGATTGTTGGAAAGGATAAGAAGAATTGGGTCCAAGTATAACATCAAAACCTGCTTCAGATCTGGGAACACTATCCGTAGCAGCCTCACGGAAACAAGTCCACCAAACGCCGACTGCGATTCCAAGGATTGCATTTACCGGATACCCTGCAAGTGCGGAGAATCATACATCTGTGAAATTGAGAGGCCATTGAAAGTTCTCAATTCCGAGCACAAGAAACACACACAGAGAGGAGAAACCGCAAATCAGGAATAACAGCATGTTTGGACTCATCAACATAAAATCAAGTGGTCTCAAACTGAAATCATCCACAAGGTGGAACACTTGTTTAGGAGACAATTCAAAGAAGCCGTATATATGTTGTCCTACAACGCATCTAGCCAAGCTAGCATAGAGATACATAACATATGGAAACCTATAACCAAGCGGAGCACGACCAACCTCAGCCCAAAAGGTCAGCTCCCGCTAAAACCGTTGAAGAGGAGGGAGGGTAGGTGAAAGCACTCGAATGACCTATAAATAGTCAGATATCAGAGGTATAAGTACAGTTATCACCCGAAGACGATTGTGGATACTAACAATCGAAACATCTTGAAGTAACATACTTTGGAACCTTTTAATTTTTAATTTTCATTTCTTGTTTATAATTTTTAATTTTCATCTCGTGTTAATAGTTCTATTTTTTTACTTTTTTATTGTTGGTTGTATTTTATTTCATTTTGATTTCAGTTTTTTTGCTTAACATAATTGTTATTGTTTTCAGCTAATCTTTTTAATTTTTTTATAGATACTTTCAGGGATTAAAATCAATTTATATCATATTAGACAATGTAAGTCCGAACCAATGAAATGCACCACTAAACATTGTCAACCACCTTCGAACAAAAATATGGTTCAGATAACCTAAAAATACTTTTATTTACAGTTGACTTGTGAATTTGCATGTTTTTTGACCAATATTAATGGTGGGTTATATCCTTCCATGTAGAAAAACAATAAAATAGTTGAAGACTAGGCACCGTTTATGGACTTTTACAGCGATTAATTGGACTAGACTTGTTTGAGTGAATAAATTGAACATGAATCGGTGCTCTATTTCACATGAATCTTCAAATTTGGAATGCAAAACTAAATTTTTTTGTGACATCAACACAATTCAATTCAAAGTACCCTTTATTATCTCAGGAATATTCTTATTGACAAAACATAACAGAAAATATAAATAAAAAATGTGTAAGTACAGTAGAACCCTGGTTATCCGAGGTAATGGGGGAACCCATCTCAGATAAATGAAAACTCGAATAATCCGGATTTATTCATTATTCGCCCAATAAAACATTATTTATGTTCCTAGATATGTGGAATGTAGATACGTACATTACAAAATCTATCTTATCTGCTGTAATCCAATCAATAACATCTTGTCTTGTCACATTCTCGCAACCCTCTAATGCTCGCATTACTTCAAACAAATTTTTTCTTCTTCCATGATTTTCTCTGTCTCATTGACAGAACCGGGACCTTCACGGCTTTTCAGTTTAGAAGACAAATCATTCAATGGAATATCTTCTTCACTGTCATGAGAGTCCTCAGAGTCAATAACTTTTGACCAAGATTTTTAAATAGTGGAAGCGCGCACAGAATCCCAAGCTTGACTCACCCATTATAACATCGGTTAATCCGGAGCTCGGTTGAACGCGACTCGAATAAACGGGGTTCTACTGTATGCTAATACATAGATTAAATGAATAAATGTAAAAGCATTATAACAATATAATCATTTCAAAAATATTGAAAAAATATAAAAACATAGTCAATGAAACAAACTGCCATAACTATTATGGTTAATTGTACCAAGTTGAAATCATCATAGAATTCAGTTTGGCTGTTTTTGATACTAGCTAAATTTTCGTGGTATCTTGATAGAATTCATCCATATTGAATTTGTCTTGTCACATTCTCGCAACCCTCTAATGCTCGCATTACTTCAAACAAATTTTTTCTTCTTCCATGATTTTCTCTGTCTCATTGACAGAACCAGGACCTTCACGGCTTTTCAATTTAGAAGCCAAATCATTCAATGGAATATCTTCTTCACTGTCATGAGAGTCCTCAGAGTCAATAACTTTTGACCAAGATTTTTAAATAGTGGAAGCGTGCACAGAATCCCAAGCTTGACTCACCCAGTATAACATCGGTTAATCCGAAGCTCGGTTAAACGCGACTCGGATAAACGGGGTTCAACTGTATGCTAATACATAGATAAAATGAATAAATGTAAAAGCATTATAACAATATAATCATTTCAAAAATATTGAAAAAATATAAAAACATAGTCAATGAAACAAACTGCCATAACTATTATGGTTAATTGTACCAAGTTGAAATCATCATAGAATTCAGTTTGGCTGTTTTTGATACTAGCTAAATTTTCGTGGTATCTTGATAGAATTCATCCATATTGAAGTCCTCATAAGAAACTCTTTTACATTATTCCTAAATCTCTCATGGCGGCATCTATCAATCTTTTATTAAGATTAATGCTCAAGTTTTCTACGAATGCAAATATAGCATTCTGTGTACGTTTTGAGGATTGAAACCCAAACTGATATAAATGAATTTTATTGTTTTTCTCAAGGAGGGATATTATTTTCTTTTTTATCAAATTTTCTATAACTTTGGACAAATTGGGTAACAAAGCAATTGATCTAAAATTTGCTGGTTGTCTAAATCGCCTCTTTTATGCAAAGGAATGATTGTGGTTACTTTTGACGGGATGGAGGTAGGCCTCTGGAAAATAAGAAATTGGCTGACTGCCTCTGCGAACACATACAGTTCTCTGTTAGGTAGTGTCAAGTTGAATATTTTTAAAAAATAAATAAAAGAGTTACAAAATTTATATTCGTGTCCTTGATGAGCGTAAAGATAGAGTTGGTAATATTTTCATTTTTTTAATAGTATAGTTTTCCTGTTTATTCCGGTCGGTAGCCAAGCGGTTCGGCGTGGGTGCTTTGTTCACTCACTCGAATTGACTGCCGTGTTGATCGGTGGTTCAAGCCCTATTCTGAACGATCGATCTTCACTTGCTATCGTCCAACCCGTGTAAATTTGTTCAGTCAACACTAACATCACCTACTCGATCAAATGGAATAAAAAATATCTCAGCCAAATATTCTTGAGAAGAGTGCATCTTCATATCCTATTTATAATCTTACCGAGAGGCGCTTTTTCCATACTGGTAAGTATGTATTCGAGTCAAGCCGAACTTTGACTTGAGCTCGGCTCGGCTCGATTTCAAAAAGCTTGGCTTGGCTCAGCTTGCCTTTGACACCCCGGCTCGGGTTTAAATCGAGACTAAATTCGCGCCAAATCGAGCCGAGCTTTTATTATCAATTTTTTTGGTATTTATCATTGCCCAGCCCTAGAAAGCTGGTGGGTTTTTTGAAATACTAATTAAAATGCTGTTTGGTAATACGATTGAAAATGAGTGTCAAAAACAGAAAAATTGTTATGTACAATAATAGTGACTACGTCCACCCCTGGTTCTAAGAAGTTCGGCACAACGATGAGGCATGCTTTCCACCAAATTTCTAATTATTTGTTGTGGTAACTGCTCGTAAATCTTCAAACGAGCATCTGCAACTTGGTTCAGATTTTTAAAGGGTTGATTAACCTTCAAACGTCTTTACAATTCTTCCCAGAGCTGCTCAATAGGATTTAAATCCGTAATATTAGCTGGCCATCTTATGACATATGTAATATTGTGCTCCTGTAGGAAATTTCTCACGACCTTGGCTACGTGTGGCCTGGCATTATCTTGTTGTAAAATGAACCCAGCGCCCAGATTTTGGGCAAATGGAACGACATGAGGTTCCAATATCTCCTCTATGTAACGGACAGCCGTTAGTCCCTTCCGTTAGTCCCTTCCCGAAATACCACAGGGTCCTTGTGTCCTGTCAAAGTTTTACCAGCCCATATCATTATCGACCCACCTCCAAATGGAACAATTTCTTGCACACAGTCATCCAAATAGCGTTCACCGGGACGTCTCCACACCCGAACACGTCCGTCATTGTTGAATAACATGATTTTTTTTTTCATCTGTAAACATTACATTGGCCCACTGCTCTCAGTTACGATGCTCTTGACAAAAGTTTCTACGATTTCCTTGATGAGCTGGAGTTAATCTAGGGGCTCTAGCAGGTCGTCTTGCATGTAGTTGTACTTCGTGAAGTCGGTTTCGTATCGTTAGGTTCGAAATTCGCATTCCCGTAGCTTCTATAAGGCGATTTTGCAGTGTTCTAGCAGAATCGGTGCGACACCTAATTGCCCAAAGTCGTAACAAACGATCTTCTCTGCGGGTTGTTGCCCTTTGTCGATTGGGATAAGGTTCTCTTTTTACTATGCCGTAAATTTGGTAGCAATTCCAAGCTCTGGAAACCGCAAAATAACTCACATTAAGCATTTGGGCTACACGACGCCTTGAATACCCTACTTCGATCAATGCCACTGCTCTAGCAACTTGAAATTCGCTGAGGTACACCCTACGTATCCTCCTTCTATCCAATACATCAACATTCATTGTTTGAATTTTAAAATTTAATACCTATCACAAACTAAAGTAAAGTGAAACTAAATACAGAATTTTTCAAATTCATGATTTTGTAACTAGTACAAAAAGAAGTAAAAAAGTAAACAACAACCGAATGGATCATGATAATTTGTATGGAGTACACACCAGAAATTTTTATCATGAAATAATGCATATTTTTTTACTTATTGGATTTTAAGGATGTGTCTATATTCATTTTGAGTAGTTTATATCTACATAGCCTACAGTAAAAACAAATTTTTCCCAGCAAAAAAAATTAGTTTCCTTATATCATGATCATAAAATGAGGTTGGTTGCTTCAGGAGTATATTACGCACGAACTCCTTCACTTCTACATCATCTTCAAATACCTGTCTCCCTATAACCTCTTTGAGCTTCATAACAAAGTGAAAATCGCATGGTGATAGGTCCGGGCTGTGGGGAAGATGATCAAGTGCACTCCAGTGTAATGTATTAAATTTTGATATTAGAGATTCAATATGTCGTAGAACCTCAGCTTCATCCGAAGCTCGCAGTAGTAAGCATTGAGCAAAATAAATTCTACTATGTCACGATTAGAGGAAAAAATCCGGGCTAGTAGGCCTTGATTGAATTGAACCTAAAGTGGTATGTGCTTTTACTCCGAGCACAAAAGTTATATCTCAAAGTCTCAGTAATGCTTCTTACTAGCAGACGAACCGTTTGGTATTTTTGGTTCCATTGAACCACAGTCTACTAGCTTGGATTTTGTTCTCTTTAGGTCAAATAATAATTTCTTCTACACTCAGTATTTGCCGATATAATGTTTTAAAAAAAAAATCTGTTTTTCCATTAACTAGCTGTCGGACCCCTACGAACGACAACCCTCAGAATTCGAAACTTGTGCGAGCTAAGGGCTAACGAGGTCGTACCTTATAACGTGTGATTCTTAACATATAAGAATGCAAAACAAGGGCAATCTCAAGTATTTACTAAATATTACAAACTAAGAACAAGTTATTATCTATCGAAGCAAGCTGTGGAAGCATTTAGTTAAAATATTAAATGGGTAAAATGTTTCCCACGTATTAAAAATAAATTTTTTGATATTTATTATGTTCACCAAGAGATGTCCTATTTTTTACCAAAACCTACTGAACGATTTCATTTGTGAAGGACATTATTTCTTGTGGAGCACAGAGAAAAAATGTTTCTTCAGCACTTGTGTTTTCGGGCTGTCGTGAATAGATCCTTGATATATTTTACTAATATGATATTTTCACTTTTGCTTCAGGAAGATGATGTGAAACCACCCATTCCATTAGATGAACTAGAAAAACTCTACGAGGGGTGCAACAGTTTCAATCCTCGGTATTTAGAAGAAATTTCAACGCTGTTAGACATAAGCGAGAATTGGGGATCTCTCTCCCAGTTGCTAGAAGTAGACCATTTGATAAGCAGCGGTTTGATTCGTTCAGAAGGAAGTATGAGTAAGGCGCTCCTTACATATTGTGTTGAGGTGAGTTATTCAAGTTTCAAATTACTTTTCATTCGTTTTTCTGCAGCAAATATAATGGATTCAAAGACAATCTGAAATTTGATTTAGTATTCTAAAGATAACTGTGATTCCTTATTGATTTCAATTACAATATTGACAGAGTAATAAATCATGATTATGTATACATAATGCTCACTTGACAATAACTAATTACTAATTATTCTATCCATACTTCTAGTCATCTCCTAATGATGCTAACTGGGCTAGCGAAATGTGCGTTGAAAGATAGTATTTTGTTCTGTTGTGGAAACAGTCGTTTTCAATAGATTATTATATCCATGATAATAATCAAACTTTTTTTGCACTATGAACTTTACTCAAAACACGGTTTACTTCATAATAACTTCTTTAGTTGGACTGNTTCCCAATAAATGGTTAGTAATGATTAATTTTCAGAATTTTATGAAAACCAGTTAAATTTACCTGCTTACCTGAAATTAATCATTATCAGCTAAACAAGTTCTTTAGTTAATAATGGATAAATAATTTAATACCAGTTCAACTGAAGATGTGAAACATGTTCAGAGACAAGTTCAGTTTCATCACTGTGTAATAGAGTTTTTGATAGATGAGCAAATTTTCAATAAATCATCAATAGTAAAATGCCTTCAATTTTTCTTTATGTTATTTGAGTTTCTTTCTTCTTTATTATTTTGTGACCCTCCTATGCCCTTTTAGAAATATTTACTTTATTTTGGACATAAAAATTTTGTGATTGTTACACATAATTGATTAAATTTGTTATTCGCAACAAATAATTAAAGATTATCACTACAAATATAATCGAAGAAATATATTTTTCAGACAAACCACGATTCTTTGTGGATGATACGAAATTTCCTGGAGAACTTGGACGAGTTCAGAGTCGTCCAAATCATGGATCAGATGGTCCGAGAAGGAAAAAATTAACTAACTTTTTTTCATCTTCAATGATATGATTTTGTTTTTGTACATATATTTTTAGTTATTAGTTTTTTATTATGAACTGACTATGTTACAAATTTATCTACATCTTTTAAAATACACGTTGTTTTATTTTTCACTAGAACTATACTTTCAGTGAATAATCATTATGCTAGTAAAAAATACGTTTATTCATTATTATTCAGCAGGAAAAATATTATAGTTGTTCATTTGAAAATCGTCCAGGGGCAGAAAAAATGCCGAGAGAGATGGGGTTTTATTTTGATAGAGCATAAGCGAGAGAAAGAAGTACCTTCATCGAACCAAAAGAATATACATTTATCGTTTCATCCTCTATAATTATAACAATTATGTAAGAAAAGAATCTAGTTTTTTTTTGTACTTGGGTGCAGTTCGACTTGTACATTTTTTCCAAGACTGGGAAATATTCCAGTCTCATGGAGTTATTGTGTTTTGCATCATCTCAAAAATAGATAATAACGCACATCGAATTCAAAGAAAAGCTTATCCTCATATAGGGGGAATGAAAAATTGGCAATTGATTAAATTGCTAATTAAAGTAAACCACCTTTATATTTCCAAATACAGAAAACACTATAAATCAAAAGGACCACCTTCATTGAATTTTTTGAGTCACTCCAAAATGATCATTTCAGTTCCCTACGAATAAAAAATTATTTCTATTTTCGAAATTGACATTTTTTAACAAATTTGAATGAATTTAGTTTGAAAAATAGATCATTAATTCATATCAGGGAAGTTTGAGTCAATAAGAGTAAACTCTCTTGCAGTGACGGCTCGTGCATTGAAGAACAGGGGAGGCTAAAGCCATATAAACTATATACACACAGAAAAGCCCGCTGGAGGCGCGAAAAATGTTTATGTTGTTGCACGCTTTGCTTAATACTAAAGTTAGGGCATGGGCATGACAATGCGTAAAAAGTGCATGAGGAGCTATGGACTTAATTTTAGTTTGTAAACCATTTAAATGGCCGGCTATGACGCAGCCCCATCGTAGGTTAGCCTATTTAACTTTTGCTTAAAATTATAGGTGTCACACGTACGAATTAAAAAATTAAACAAATCGTCAGCTGTGCGCCTAGATGAAACATCATGAAAACCCATAAAACATTCTACCACATTACCATCTTTGACATATCTAAAAACGATTGAAAGTTGTAATGTACAGGTAATGTCGGTAGTTTCATCAATTTCCCATGCAAAAAAAGAAACGCTTCCAATCTCCTTGCTTATATTTTCCTTAATAATATATGCCACAGTGTCTATAGTAAGCTCATTTTGGATGGTTTTTGAGGTGCCCGAAAAAACTCTTCCGTTTAAAAAAGTTACAAATTGTGAGTCATATTTACTCCATAACATGAGGTGAATTTTTTAAATCGGAGTATCCTATTTTAGACCACGTTTGGTATTCGGTTTGTACGGAAAATAAAACACAGGGCAAACAAAACAGTTTTTCTCGTTTAATGGAGCCGCTTAACCAATCGCATTTATCGTACCAACTAATATTAAATCCTCGATTTTGTCGATTATCTGACGATTTAATTGAAATCAAATTTGGTTGAGGCCTTCCTATTTGGGACAAGCTATACATACGTCCTAAAATAAAAACACCTAATATCTTTGGTTGTCTTATTTATATTTAATTCTGCCATTTAAGATAATATTCTCTTTCACTCTTTCCAATCCTGCCTTCATCACTATCGCTGTCATCATCTTTTGATAAATAAATTTTGTTTTCTCTTTCTCTAACAACTTCTGCAACAATAAATTAGAATTCATCTGAATCATTATCTTCTGCATGATTACAATATATTTACATTTGACGTATATATTCTACTGTAGTTCAAAAACTCCATCTGTCATGTTTATTGATATTGTCCAACCTGTATATACATATCGCCTTGTAATATTTTAGTAAGCATACGAATCCCAATATTTCAGTTGCATTTTTTTGGGTTGGCCAGTGGAAGTATACGGTTCCACTTCTTATCAAAATATAAAATGAAATTTCAACTTTCCCACTTATTTCTCCATGGTCATTCAGTTTACCTTTTTCCTCTGTCAAGAAGACTATTTGGTATAAGGATTTTATTTGGACCACATGTATTTATTCTATGTAGGCTATTCTGTCTATCTGTCATTAAGTCAGATATCATTATCAATTTTTTTAGTTTTATTCACTATTTGAAGGTAATTTTCATTTTATCGTTCATATCAATGATTTTTTTAAAGCACATGAATTTATTCTGTCCTATGTCATTGATGTTCATTTTGTCTATTTTTGAGTTTTGTTTACTGTATTTATTTTTCATTTAGTATTCTTAATATTCAGTTGTAAGCAACTTGTTGGACAATTAACCTGACAGTTATCAGTGTCAATCACTGATGACAAATAGCAATCCCAGAAAAAATAAAGGTGCTTGAAAAGCAAACCTTTTCTGTTAACCACAACATCTACAAACCTAGGTTTTAAATTGGTACAGACATTTGCAGGGGTTGACGTCTAAACGAATTGAGCGTCTTTCAATGATTATTTTGATGGTTGTTTTCTTAAATTGCTTTCTATATCGAATATATATTTGTCTATATCCAGTGTGTCCACAATTTGGTTCCAATTTGGCCGCTTTTCGGAATGTTTTATAGTATTTCTTCTTACCAGCCGTTAGCATCGGCTGTTGCAAATTTTCTGTAACATATAATCCACCATTGGAGGCTTCAGAGACTTTGCTTACGATAGTCTTCCTGATCCCATTAAGATAGAGACTTGTAGGTTGACAATGTTGATATGATAAACTTGTTTTTTTCAAGGACAAAATGCAAGCATTTTTGTAAAATCCTTGAGGTGCTTTACGAGCGGTGCCTGTGCGAAAGTAGCGATTCACGTTAGATTTGAATCGCTGGAGATAACATTCATATGGGAAGGTCATTTCACATAAACGGAGTTCCACAATTGAAAGAGTTCTTAAACAGTGAAGTACGGAGTTGAGGTGTGTACAGTTTTCTGGTTCGGAACAGTGTTCCAAGCTTTTGAGAAGCAGCTTTTGCAATTACAGCGACATGATTGTGTCAAGACATATTGTTGTCCATTTCAACCTTGTTGAAGCAGAATGCGGAATAGCTGTTCTTTTCTCAACTAGCATCAGTATTTCTTCCGCCTGTTGAAGTTTATTCAATACATTCTGTATTATTTTCAAATGTTTGATCAGGTTTTTTTTTGTTTTAACGATTATGAGAGTCGACAAGAAAAAATATTGTAATTGTTTATATGAAGTTGAGAAAGCAACAAAAAAGTATTATTATTTGGTCCTCCGAGCTCAACAATAATCTACACATGAATTCAACAAGAATCTACCCATAGGTGCACAACGAAGAATGTGGTTGAAAATAATATTCTTCCCGTTGAATTCACATGGCTCAAAAATTTTTCTATATATAAATACAAATTTTCACACTATAGAATTGATTCACAATAAGCGTTGATAATAAAATAGGGTGATTCAGTTGTTGAAATATGTGTAAAAGTAAATGTGAAAAACGTTTCCCAGTGGTTGGGAAAACTAGTGAAATGAGCCTCTTGTGTATATTTTCTGAATGAGTTGCTAGTCAACCAGAAAAACAAAATTTTCCACAAAAAAAAACGCGAGATTTTTTTCTATTGTGACTGTGAACATGAAATTTCTCCCTAATAGCAGTTTGATGAAAAATGGAAGATTGTTCAATAAAAAAAACTTTGTTTTATTTACCTGAAGAAAACACTAAAAAATCAGATGTAACACGAAAAACGATGTTTTGAGGATGGTTGTGAAAGCTATAGTGTCCGACCGAAATCGGTTTTTACGACCGAAACCGAAAACGAAACTTCCTTACAAGGATTATGTTTTGAGGGAAAAATAAAGAAAACGTTATTATAATCACTCAGTCTTTACTTTTCATCTTCAAATCACAACGTTATGCAGTCTTCGACATTTTTACTTATTGACAATCAACATAACAAACCCTTATTTAAGAAAAAATATTAATTGCCCCTTAAAAATAGTTGAAATCGGTGAGGTGTTTATTTGAGTAGGTGTAGATCCTTCTTTTGAATATTATTGATGGTTTTTCAAAAATATTATACATAAAATTACTCATTTAAGTTGTTACCTAATATCACAATTTTATATCGATTCAGTTCTTGCTTCTTGAAGTATGGAAAAACCAGTTTTGTTGAGAATACTTCCAATTGAAATTTATGGCCCAAATAAAATGGAAGTAGTTGCTCTTTGTAATTAAGATTCCATTGTAACGATGATAGACAAAGAAGTATTGAGTTATTGAAGGAAAGAAAGAAGCTTTGTCCAGAGTGGACTAACGTTATCATTTCAAGTAAAAAAAAGCTGAGAAGTTGGAATTCGAAAATATCCGAAATTATGAAGGTGCTGAAAATTTCACATAGTTCATACAATATTAAATACTGTTACGTTTTCCCCGTGGGTTTGCTAACAATTGATTGTACAATTTTATTTTGCTGCTAATACAATCAAACACTCTAACTAAAACTTTATATTAATATTCAAATGCCGATCGCCTTTGTAGAGTCCAGAAGAAAAAACTACCCGTTTAGTTCCGGTTCTCTCAGTTCAATGGAAATTGTCAAATGTCAACTGTCCGTATAGAGATTACTGCAAACCCCAACAACAATTCGATTTATCGGCAAAAGTGTTTTAACTTTTTTATTGAAGTCAGTACATTGGCAAAAATTAACAACTCTTTTGACAGAAATAGTATTTTCAATTTAAAAAAGTATAATACAGGGTGGTTTGGGACAAAACTCAAAATAGATTTCTTAACATTTTCGTAACAGCCTTATTAGATGACTTCGTTCCGCACTGTCCACTAGACTTTCCCGGATATGCCGTTGGTAGTGTTTATATATGGTAATTGAGGTATCTGGAAGCCAATAGGAAATTCACTAGAAGTCTATTGATGTGACGCGGCACCTAACTAGAACGATCGCAAGGCGCACGTCGAGTTGAGCTCGATCTTGGCACGTTACAGGGGATGATTTACAACAATATTTCACTTCCTGTACAGAATATGAATCAATAGAAAACACCTTCTCTTTTGGAAAATCGATCAATCATCATACAAGAAAAAAACTCTCTTATTCTGATTGGCCAATGTTACTAAACTTAGAAATGTTCAATAAATTGGGTTGCATGGCCCAGTATTGTAGTCTGGTTCACATGTACTCGATTTAGCTCTTTTTGGTGACATTTTTCAGCCCTGTCCAAAAGTTACGACCAAGGTGCCATTCGATTCGATTCGTAATTTTTGGACAGGGCTGAAAAATGTTACAAAAAAAAGTACATGTGAACTAGACTATTGGCAGAAAATGTACTCATAGCTTACACTTTATATATAGTGATTAAGAGGCCAACAAAAGATGAGATGATAAGATAGACTAGAAATGGATATGAAATAAACCTGAAAGTGATAAATTTGCTGAAGATTGCAGGAAGAAAATAAATTATTGAGCAGAGAATGGTTTTGTCAAAGGAATAACTGATTGAGAGCCCCCGAACGTGGTATTTGCCATACTTTGGCGTTATTTACCCAAATAAACCTGGGACAATGAAGCTGCTATTTAAAGCCGCTTCAAAATCACATGGATTCGCCTTAATGACTTTTTGTAGGAACAAATTTTTTCTGATCTGATGCAACCATTAATTGTTATACTGAGCCCCCGAACGTGGTATTTGCCATACTTTGGCGTTATTTACCCAAATAAACCTGGGACAATGAAGCTGCTATTTAAAGCCGCTTCAAAATCACATGGATTCGCCTTAATGATTTTTTGTAGGAACACTTTTTTTCTGATGCAACCATTAGTTGTTATACTGAGAAAATTTTGACTGGGTAAAAATATCAGAGATATGTTCCATTAGGTTTTCATTAGAAAGGAATCTCATATGAGCCCAGAGGTTTCTGTGGATGTTGACAGACTACCTGATATGAATGAAATGTTGGTAATCGTAGTCGAATTTAAATATTCAGCAGTATGTGCTCAGTTTGTTGAAAAACATATCACGGAAGAGCACGCGAAAACTCTAGAATTGCAAGCTATAAGAAAAAAAAGTCGATGATTATTTTGACAAAAAAATTTTGGAAGATGAATCCCTTCGAACCATACCAGAAATTCACATAATTATATTTGGACGAAGCTTCAATACTGCAAATTGAGTGACCAATTTCCAAAAGGTAAGAGAACAGATTTTTTTAAACTATGTAATTGATCCTAAAGGTACCTAAAGATAAGAAGGGATAAGGGAAAAGATCTAGTGATCTGACTGGTCATGGATAATGTGGATCTCCCTGATAATTATCCTCAAAAATAATGTTATGAATATACTCTGATAAATGTGGGTGACGTATGTGACTCCTTTTGACTGAAGATCACCTTTTACGTTATTTGAAAAATTATTAATAACATTCCAATTCAAACATAATGACGAAATACAAGTGCATTTCATTGAATATGTTGTCTAAAAACTGATTAAATTGCCGTAAAAATAGCATCATAATTGATTTTTTGAGCTGTTTCGAGCTTTTTCGAACCACGGGAGGGTATTGGCTCTTTTCACCCCTTGGAGGTAGATTTATAAAAAAACATATATAGTTGTCCTCAAATATCTGAGAATCAGGGGATCAACTCCTTAAATGTTGATTTTTGCCATACATTACATATCGATATCGAAACTGAAATTATTTTCATTTTTGCTGATTTCGCAATTCCAAATGTAGGCGTATGCTCAGAAGAGGACGGCGCGAATATCAGTACCTATAACTATAGTCGAATTATGCTAAAATTCGTAAAAGAAACAAATATCGACAAACATCAGCTATGAAATGACAATCAACACTGAACTGTTCAACGATAACTTTATTTTTCGAACCGTTTTTTGTCGACATATAACATTTTGGATCTACGCAGTCTTCAACCTTCATTATGGATGAGCTTTTTTTTATATACATAAGTATTCAAGAAACTCTATTCCAAGTCTCGTGTTGCTAATGTTGAAATGATAGGATTAGTTTGCCATGGGAAGGTCTAGAGCTCTACTAGGTCTAGAGCTCTAGAAGATCTACTATGCGAAGTTCTAGCCCACCTCTCGTTGAGATAGAAATTTGATAACTTCTGATAAAAGTGTAGTTTTATAACTAACGTTCCCTTGAGAGTATAATTTGAAGCAACCCAGATGTAGGTGTCCTTTAATATCTAACCAAAATTTAAAATATCAAGTTTCATGTTTATAATGTTGAAAATGGCGAAAGTGCGTAAAAATGTCTAGCCCCGTCTTTACCTTCTTAGGTAGAAATTTAAAAAAAAACCTTTCATATTTCTTGAATGGGTGTTGTTAGGTGCATATTTGTCAAATTTGAGTTTCTAAGGCTGGGCATTGATAAATACGATTCTGGCTCGAAGCTAGGAAGTCGAACATAGCCAAGGCTTTTTGAAATCGAAATGAACCGAGCTCATGTCAAAGTTCGGCTCGGCTAGGCTTGAATAGGTACACCCCTATACAGACACAAATCATCGATGTGTGGTGGGGATAGAGGTGTCTTCCCTATTTTAGACAGAAAACAAATATTCAGAATATGAGTGTACAGAGAAATGAAAACTGTTACAAAATTTAATACCAATATACAAGGTGTCTAACAACGTTGTCTTTTTAATGGATAACTACACTGATTTCTTTGAAAAAAATTCGATTTGAAAAATATAGAGTTATTAGCGTTTATAACG